TTAAAAAAAAATAAATAAATAAGAAAACGAGATACATACATATATATATATATGGCCAATGCATAGGTAAAACCACATATTGAACTGAAACAACATACTAAACTAACCAAATAAATGCAAATTTCTTTTCTCTTTTAATAAGTAGTACCTGAGTGAAAAAAATAAGTAGAAATAAGTAGGCCAATTAAATAAGTAGAAAGACAACAGCCCAGAAAGATATGAAAAGGGAAGCTAAGAATGCTAGACACAAATTTGAAAGATTTCTCATTTTACTAGGATTTGCCTCAATCATATATAAGTTGTCTTGCATAAAAACTCACAGGTTGGCAAGAATCATTAGCCAGACCTTGTAGCACTGAAACACTTTATTAATGAACATGTTTCATAAGCAAACTTTGTTATAAAATTGGTTCACAAAGGATTTCTTACCAAAAATTCTATAGCTTATCTAGATTACATTTCTGATTCACAGTGATTCTCAAGTCTTTTTCTTTTCTTATCAATACTCACCTCTCTAATCTATCTGGCTATTAAAGTTTATCCATATATTTATCTCTGATACATATATTAGATTGTCAGAAAAGGCATGACGCATTTTTGCATAGAAAAAAACTAAGTCATGACTTTTCTGACAAATATATGTCTCTCCCTATTTAAAAAAAAAACTCAAGTCATCTTAGTGTTTCATGGGGCTTAACTGTACCACGACAGATAAAGCCATAATTCAGGGCCAGGAGGTGACATGGTGGCTAAGGTAGCCAGATCCCACATGGCCAACTACGTGGCTCAAGAATTAGACTGGGCAGCTTGAAAAATATGTAGGGCACACATATATGTATGCGTGCCCAAAATCCCAAGAAAATGTGGCATGGTCATTTTCACAAGGGGGTGTGATTTCTCATTTTCCCATCTCCCTGTCTCTCTCTAGTAAGTGCATACACCCTGTAGCAAAAGACTAAAAAGAAATTTAATTTAAAAAAAATTTTAGGAGCAAGCAGAAGGCAGATGGAGTCACTGGACTCCCACATGGCCGACTGTGGCTTGATTCCCAGCCTGGTGGCTTGAAAATCACTCCGGGCACATGTGAATGAGTGCCCAAGATCCCAAGAGGAGAAAGAATTATGGCATGGCCATCTTCCCTGAGGGCTGATTTCTCATTTTCCCTTTCACTGTCGTCGTCTCTCTCTCCAATGTGGAGCACACACACTATGGCCAAAAAAACCTCTAAAAAGAATTTTATTTTAATTTAAAAATAGGGCCAGCAGGTGACGTGGAGGTTAAAGTGAAGGCTCCTATAGGGCCAACTCCCTGGTTTGAGTACTAAACCATCAACTTGAAAATGATGCAGGGCATATGTATGTACATGCCCAAAATCCCAAGAGGAAACTGGAGAAGTGACTAAGGTGGAACCATCCGTGGAACCATCCCCACTGGGGGTGATAGCTCTCTCTCTTTCTCTCTCTCTGGTGAGCACATGTGCCATGCTACAGCAAAAACTCAAAAAAATAAAATTAAAATTAAAATAATAAAACCATAATTCATTTTACTCTACCACACTCCGGCCAAGAATAACTGTGCAAATTTTCAAATAATAGCTACTTTTCCTATCTATAAAATTATGCATTCCAAATGTGGAAGACAAAAAAAATTGATGCTTTTCAAACATCAATATAAAAGATCACTTAAATTTTTTTTCTTATACTTCATGGTTCTATAGTCTTATAAAATGAATTAATTACTAGAAAAATTATGGTGTGTTTGTATGCCTCAGTAGTACTAAATTCATAGAAGTTTCTAAATATCTACTTTCAACATTTTAACTTATCTTTTTATAGACAGGTAACAACTCACATACTAGCACTGGTCCCTTGACACGCAATGATTAGTAGTGTCCCATGTCATATATTCTCAGTAGACAAGTCTTTGGGAAATATTTCACATATCTAACAACAATAATACAGCCTGGTGAACGGCTATGAATCCCTTTGTGCTGCTTTGCACATTCCACATTAACTTCAACAAGTTCCTAAAGATAGTAAGACCTACAGCCATATTTTCTTAGCTTATTGGCCATACTCAGAAAGAAAAGAAAGTTTTCTAAAGCTCCAACACCTCTATTATTTGTAATCAAGCAAACTGTGCCTAGTTATCTTTGCTTCTTCTTATACCTCATCCTCAAAAAAAAAAAAAAAAAAATCAAAACATCTTTTCTCCATAAGTTCTGAATCTAGAGCCCTCTCTGCTACCTAGCAATCATTAGGTATTTATTCTGGCACTAATTAACACACTGCTCTGTAAATGTTCTCTAGCAGGTACATGCACTGTCTTCTCTCAATTAGATTTTGAGAAAGCAGGAAAAACATCAGTTCCTTTTTTTGATTTTCTACATAGCACACAGTAAAACTACCTACAGTAAAGATTCTAAACTTATCTGATCCCAGGAAATCACACAACCCTATAGGTAAAAATCAGCAAACTTGGCCCAGAAGTTGGCCTGAGATTTTGAAAAAATGGTTTACCTAACTATGAAATAGTACTAAGTATGGTCTACCTACCTGTTCTCTGAAATCAGTATAAAATAAAATGTCACCAAGTAAAAATAATAGTCTGCATCAATAAACTTGGAATTATTTACAGAATTTTAGTTTCTGTCACTCCAACTGTATCATAAACAGACATTATAAATTACTACAACGAAAGAAAACTAGGTAGTCTCCAAATGCTTTCAATTCACAGGGTTTAAGATGTAGTAGTACTCTTATGCCAACAGTACGTCTAATACAAAGAGATTTTAAACCACCTTAAGTCAAATGTTAACAATTTAAAAGTATGTACAACATATACCCACTGAGATTTCTAACTATACAGCCTACTACTGGAAAACCTCTCTATGTCCCTATATTATGTATTATTATAAATGTAAACGGAAAAAAAAATAGTGCTTCAAAGCTCCATGAATACACAAACCATGAATTTCTAGGCAGAGGCTGTGGATGCTTTCAACTTAGACAATGAATTTTAGAGATAAAATGAGTTTTAGAGATAAAAGACACCATAGCAATTATCTAGGTTAGGCTCATTTTAGAGATGGGAAGATTACGGTAGAAAGTTGGCCTAAAGTCACAAAAGTTAGAGACCCAGGACTCCAAATATCACAACAGAGTAATCATCTTATTCTATTAGTCTGCTCCATTAGAATATAGTCTAATATCGCTCCAAATATTGAGGTTACATTTTTAGTAACATTTCATTATTTTCGTTTAAAATATATTTGAAAAAGAATACTATATATCTTCCCTTTTCCAGTCCCCAGTGATGTTTACTAGTTCTTCAAAATAAATGTCAGTAGTTCTAAACCATATTTCAACCTAAAAATACATTTCACCAACCTCTCATACTGGGAATACTTTCAGGTATTCATCTACCATTAGGTCGTCCGGAAAGTCATGACTTATTTTTCTGTTTTTCTATGCAAAAATGTGTAATAATTTTCCCAATGACCCAATAATTTTACTTCTTACTCATATATCATCAAAAATGCTACTTATTACAATTAACTGATTATTATTTTTAAAATGAGAACAAGTCATTAAAGGGATCCCTAAGACAACTTAAAAGCTTTCTAGTTCCTCCCTAAAGAGCTGCAGATAACTTCATTTCCAGGTTGTATCTGCTTTTTAGCAGTTTACTGTGATATTTCATATTGACAGTTTGTCTACTGTCCTCTCATTACTGTCAACGAGTCTGCTTGTGCCCACCTCTACTCTACTTTTAAACATACAGATTTAGAAACTACATTTCCAACTTATGAACAAAGTATGTAAAGGAAGAATAATGTATTCTTAGTGAAAGTCCATAAGGAAATCTATAAAAGAAAACCCATACAGTTTAGTCTACAATTCTAGTTGCTTGAAAGCATTCTGTAATTACTTTCTTTTTCTCCTCCATATCTCAAAATGGAGATAACGTTGGGCCATGAGGTGTTAATGTAATTTACACCTGGCCCCATTAAAATTCTGACTTGGGAACACCTACTCTACATAAAATTTTTAAAACCACTTTACTGAGGTATGACTGACATATAAACTGCTGTACATATTTATACAACTCAATGAGTTTGAAGATAGGTATACGTTGCAAAACCATTATCACCAGAATGTTCCAGAATTTTACCTTATACTTCTCTCTGATCATAGCCTTCCTAAAAGCAACTTAATTCCTATCAGTTTTTCTAAAACTAATATTCTTTTATCTTAGGTCTTTCTCATTATTTAGGAAGCTGAATGCTATAACATTACAGTAATTTCCACTAAGACATGCAATCCCCTGAACATCTTTAGCTGCTGTTGATCCTAATCAAAAAGATTACTCTCTATATATATGATTATTAGTATTAACACAATTCTCACTAAGACCCAAAGGCATCAAACCATTCATTTCAACTGGTCACATAATCAGTCCTTATAAAATACCCCAAAGATTTATATATAATTTATCAACCTAAGTTCCAAATAAATTTAAGTTAACTTTTAAAAATGAAGAAACTTGAAACTATTTTTAAACAAGCCAATTACAAAATGTTGAAAATGTGAAGTTTGTCTTGTAAAGAGTTTAAATTAATGGAGACTCTGCAATTTATACAAACAATCAGAAAAATAAAGTTAAAACTTGATTACTATTCCTACAATGGGTCATATTAACAGCAACTATAACATTAGATATTATCTTAAAAATACACTAAGTTTTTAGAACAAAAATAAGCAACAACAGGGTTTCAACTCATCACATAACATCACCCTACTCCATGCACAGAGGTAACAATTTCACATATAAAAGATAAGAAAGAAGGATAAACAAAAGGCCAGAAAAACATTATAGCCCATAAAAACCTATCACCCCACTTACAAATATCTTGGTACTGTGCAGGTAACAGTACCAACAACAGTACACTATCAACTCCAAATTCCATTTAGTTTTACTCAAGATTTAATTTCACCTACCTTTCTTCTCTGGGAGATGTTGAGGGCACCAAAGTCATTAAACAAGGATGAAGCAGGTGAAGTTAGAGGATCTGGAAGGTAAATTATGTAAGTTTTCACTCAGACAACTCAGGTAACGCACAAATCTAATAAATGTTTAACAATACCTAAAATAGTAATAAAAAATCATGTATCACAATAATTAAACAAAGCGACTTATACATAGTGGATTTTCTAATGTATTCTAAGTAAAATAAACACAAATTAGTGAAAATTTGATTTAGCCAATATTCAGTATACACTTATTGGAAAGCTATATGGATTAAAATACTGTTTGATCAGAACCGAAAGAAAAAAATGAAATAGAGAAAAAAAAAGAAAAAACTTAAATACTGCACTGGGAGTATGTTTATATAAGCAGTAAAGCTAGCAATATAAATAAATGTTTGCATTCTGGAAACCAAATCTTAAAAGATTAACAGAAGACAGAGAATCAATCATTTTTGAGAGATCCAGACTTAGACTTATCGATAGAAAAGGCAAAGCCTTATAACTAGCTATTCTAGGGTCCGGCAGGTAACATGGTGGTTGAGGGTTCTAGACTCTTACATGGCTGACAGCGGTGCAAGTCCTGGACTGGGCGGCTTACTTTCTTACGTTCCTTCTCTCTCCCTCTCTCACTCTGTCCCTTTCTAGTCAAATTTAAATAAATAAATAGTTAAATAAAATAATTCTTTAAAAAAAACTATTTGTTTTACAATCTTTAATGTTTTAAAGTTTATCACTAGATTTATTTTTTTAAGAATTATTCATTTTAATTTTATTTATTATTATTATATTTTAATTTGACCAGAGAGAGATGGGGGATGGAGGGGGAGAAGAAATCAAGCTGCCAGGACCAGGACTTGAACCATGATCAGCCATGTGGGAGTATGGTGCCTTAACCATCACACTACCTGCTAGCCCCAATTTATTTATTTTTTATTTCATTTTTGCCACAGGGCATGTGCACTAACTGGAGACAGACAGAAAGAAAAAGTGAGAAATCAACTCCCATGGAATGGCTATGACTCAATCCCATCCTCCACTCTCCTCTCAGGATTTTCAGTATGCACACTCACGTGTTCTACGTGATTTTCAAGCTGCCGGGTCCAGGAACTTGAAGCACAGTCAACCATGTAGGAGTATAACACCTTAACCACCACATTACCTGCTGGCCCCTATCACTAGATTTTTTTCTTACTCAAAAGAAAAGGTAAATTATCAACTGTTTATAAGGTAAAATTGTTAAAGAATTAAAAATACAAACATGAACTCCAAAGATTTTATACACTGAAAGTTTCATTACTCTGTGACCAGAAGCTACACACAAAGTTATCTCTCTTAATTTTTTCTCACTTTACATATTAGAACAGTTTCTGAAAATGTATTAGATACAGTGAAATATTTTTTTTCTTCATTTTTGAACTTTAATATTTTTTTTTTTTAAGAGAGAGATTTTTGCTGTAGGCAACATGTGCTCACTGGCGAGAAAGAAACAAAAAGCAAAAAATCACCCCTCAAGGGGGATGACCATGAGGGGTCTTCCCTTCTCCTCCATTCTCCTCTCGGGGGTTTTAGGCATGCATACTTGCGCCTGGCGTGAGTTTCAAGCCATCAAGTCTGGGACTCAAATCTGTCGATCACATGGGAGTCTACACTTTAACCACTACCGCACCTTCTGACGCCCTGAGTGTTATCTTACATTTCTTCATCTCATTAAATTATCTATAAAATTCTTAGAAAATATATTAAATGCCCTTATTTAAAGGAATTTGAAATCTCTTCATAACGAAGTACATATAGATTACTGCTTTATTTCTCTGTCTTCTTATATTTGGATTTTCATAGTCAAGCTCTTCATTAGAATTAATATTAATTTAATATTAAATAATAAACTATGAAAATGGTAATAAAAGAGCAAGATATAAATTATCTTTATATAAAGTACACATTTAAGGCACTTAAAAATAGGCATTCATCTGAGGCCAGCAGGTGGGATGGTGGTTAAGGTGCTAGACTCCCACATGGCTGACCAGAGAAAGAAACAAAAAGCAAAAAATCACCCCTCAAGGGGGATGACCATGAGGGGTCTTCCCTTCTCCTCCATTCTCCTCTCGGGGGTTTTAGGCATGCATACTTGCGCCTGGCGTGAGTTTCAAGCCATCAAGTCTGGGACTCAAATCTGTCGATCACATGGGAGTCTACACTTTAACCACTACCGCACCTTCTGACGCCCTGAGTGTTATCTTACATTTCTTCATCTCATTAAATTATCTATAAAATTCTTAGAAAATATATTAAATGCCCTTATTTAAAGGAATTTGAAATCTCTTCATAACGAAGTACATATAGATTACTGCTTTATTTCTCTGTCTTCTTATATTTGGATTTTCATAGTCAAGCTCTTCATTAGAATTAATATTAATTTAATATTAAATAATAAACTATGAAAATGGTAATAAAAGAGCAAGATATAAATTATCTTTATATAAAGTACACATTTAAGGCACTTAAAAATAGGCATTCATCTGAGGCCAGCAGGTGGGATGGTGGTTAAGGTGCTAGACTCCCACATGGCTGACCAGTTTGAGTGCCAGACCTGGTGGCTTGAAACTTTATGCCGGGCATATATATGTACATGTCCCAAATCCCAGGAGGTGAATGAGAAGAAGAAACTGTGGCATGGCCAACCCTGTGAGAGGTGATTTCTCTCCTTTGCTCTCACTCACTCACTGTGAGCATATGCACCACCTTATGGCAAAAGCCTAAAAAAAACAAAAGTATTCATCCCTTAATGCTACCTTTGATAGCAAGTAAAAATCACCATTTAAACTCTATAGAATACCAAAAATACATAATGCTACAAATGCATCAAATCATTTTATAAATATTTAGATGCTATTATTGGAGCTGGACTCCCTCCCTCATAGCAGATAGCTTACTCTCTTATTCTCTCTCTCTCTCTCTCTCTCTCTCCCCCTCTCTCTGGTGAATCCATGTTCCCTATAGCAAATATAAAAAAATAATAATAGACTAAATTAAATACTTTTTTTAAAAGATGCTATTATTTTTCTGTGTCAAAAGGTTAAAATTTCCAAACTGTGGTGGAAATTGATCTCTACCCACAAGGTATATCACAGGAAACAATCCATGTGCAAATTCTTATTCTCATCATTATTAATCAATATTAACTGACAGTAAAATATTAAGACTCAATTGTCCCTTTTTTTTTTTTTTGAGAAATTTTTGCTATTGGACACGTGCGCTCGCCAGACAGACAGAGAGAGACATAGAGACAGAAAGCGAGAAATCACCCCCCAGGGGGGGTGGTC